CCTCAATTCACACCTTAGTCCTAAACCTAGCCCCTAACCCACCAACGAGACTTCTTCTTATGGGGCCCGGGCTTTGGGCCCCATAAGGAGTAGTTGGTCCCCACAATGCAGTATAAGTTGGAAAAATGGGCCTCACAAAGTAGCATAAAAAAGGACACACACACACACACACACACACAGGGGAAAATAAATACTGGGTATTTGATACACTGACAATTTTGCAAGTTTTCCTTTGCTGGTTCTTGTTTTGTGTTTTTTTCTTTTTAGGTGTTTTGAGTTACGTGAATCGCTGCTGCGAGGATCCGCACTGGTGTGCTAAGCTAGCTAATCAATTCGGTTCACATCGACTCGGATTGAACTCACATGAAGCTGAGATCAGGCGAGTGGTTTTAAACAGTTTTATTTATTCATTTTTTCTGCCCCTCTTGATTTGTGTTGTTTTCTATTTGTTTTGAGCGGAGGGTCCCAGTCTCGTGGGGAGCAAGTCTCGTGGTGCTACATCGTGGCGAGGCTACGTGGTGGGCCTAGTGAGCTGCTAACCTTCAACGCACACAAAAGCTGAGAGCATATCACTGCTGAGAGACTGCCTTCATCAGATCTACATCATTTGATCACCTTTAACTTATTCCACTGTGGTCTTTATTTTTCAGGACTTCTGGTTTTTATCAGTGTTTTGAGATCTGCTGGCTCTTACTAGCCTTGGCTCAATATGGCTTCCAGCTTCACTACATGTGTCGTGTGCCAACTATAATACTGTCTCGTTTCAAGATAATGTATCAAGTAGGGCTGAGTACCGAACCGAGGTTCTTTTATGGCACCGACCGAACTGCACCGGTCGGTGTATGTATTGAAACGTCACTCTTCTTTCGGTGTCAAGTTTCGGTATTGGCTGTAACGTGTCACGTGGTTTCAGCATGCAGGCAGGTAAAACACAGACATATGACAAACAGACTACACCCAGATTACACCCAGAGCTGTATAGAGCTGCCGTACCTAATCTATGTATAATTATGTCTATGGTGCTGGTGACGCCCACAGACGGGTTCACGTGTGCAGCGTGTGTTGTCGAACGGCTTCGACAACACACGCTGCGGAAAGTTGCTCCATGATTTTCTGCGAGGAGAGAAGAGTTCATTAGCCTCCCCCCTCCTCCTCTCAGCATTAAAGTCAGCCTGTGAGAGCCTGAACATCCTGATTCATCATCTCCACGACCGGACTCTTCATCAAAGAACTCTGAGGACGTCTCTGTGAGTTTCAGCTGGTGAGTTTACGTTTGTTAGCGTAACTGCAGCTTAACACGTACATCGCGGTGAAATAAATTATGATCCATGTAACGCTAACTTTAACATTGGTGTGTAAATTTATTTTATCTAAGTAGCTAGCTAAACTCAGAAGCTAACTAAAGATTAATAGTAACAGATAAATCTTAGCTTTTAAAACTGCTCATCCATCCAGTCAGCTGCTTAAACAGTTCACTAATGTTCACTGTTTATGTTCATGTTCTCCTCACAGGAGGTTCTGACCCTGATGTGAGGAGGACAAAAGAAAAGCGAGGTGGGGGGGGGGGGGGCACAGGACAGTCACAAACTTTGTTGTTAAAAGTTTGCTGCCTTTTTCTACAGTGGAGCTGCATGTTGGAGGTAAATTAAACTGTAAAGGATTTTGATGACCAGTTAAACCTTTATCTCTTAGCCTAGATAATGTTTTTTGATCAATAATAACACAACCATGTTATTGTTGATGTTTTGTTCTCATGTCAATTAGGGAGATGATCAGAGCCCTAAACCCCAGAGAACCACAGAGAAGATTCAGGCAGAGACAGAAGTGCAGAAGTCTGCATCAACCCTAACCTCAGTGAATCCAGTGACCTGCTGGTGGGATGTGAGGGACAATATGTCAAACTGACAACCAGGTATCTGTGTGTGCAACAATCATCATCTACAGCCTCAGAGTGAACATGTTCTACTGCTGGAGACACCATCAGCCAGGAGCAGCTTGTTTGTGTCCAGAGAAAACAGACATGTTGATGTTTCTGAATAAAAACTGTTCAGTGAAAAGATCCTCAGTGTAGCAGTGAGCATTAGACACTGACGTGTCACTGGTTTGTAACTGGTCTTTTGAACTGGAAATTATTTGTTTGTTTCTATGAAAGAAAACTGCTTGGAATAGAAAAATACCAAAGTTAAAAAATAAACTCACAATTTGTACTGTAATGTGTAACGTAATTTTATTCTTGTTAGAATTGATATTAATTACAAAATTGGTACCAAAACAAGAACCGTCCAGGAACCGACACCGAAGTGAAGGTACCGACACCGGTACCGATTTTTTTAGAAAGGTACCCAGCCCTAGTATGAAGTGTTCTGTTATGTCGGTTCTAGTGGACAGGCTGTCTGATCTGGAGGTTCGACTCTGTGCTTTTGAAAAACCATTAACTAGTCAGGCGCCCGTAGGCTGCACAGATGCTAATGCTAGCTCGCGTTAGCAGTCAGACAACACAGGCTGTGTGACGGCCCGAGGTAAACCAAATGCTAAAACTAAGTCCCCTGGTTCACTATCGACTCAATCACATTTCAAATGATGTTTCAAAAGATTTTTCTTCCGTTTTAAATCACATTTCAAATCAGTTTCCTCCTCTTAACAACCCGGAACCACAGGCCCGCGGGATATCGGCCCAAAATAAGCCTAAAGCTAAAATTAAACCCCCAGCTAACACCGATCCATTCATGCTTCAAATGATTCTTCTCCAGTTCAAAACCATGTTTCAAACCAGTTTCCTCCACTTAGCTCCCCTGAGCCTCAGCCCCACTGGGTGACGGTCCAAATAACAAATATTACTAAAACGAAGCCCTCGGTCAGCGACCCGTTCAACTCTCACATGGGTTTTCTGTGCTTAAGCAGACACCAGCTGAGGAGCAGACTCTCGTTCCATAGTCCGAATCATGGCATCTGCAGCTCAAACCACAGTCGAATGCATTCCAGGGGCCAGAGCAGGCGACACTGAATCCCACCTGAGACTACTGGCTAAAGCTAAGGTGACATTAGGGCTGGGCAATATACCGAACATTAACCGACACCGAAATTTATAACAATGATTGATGTCATTTTGCCCATGTCGGCATATTCTGTGTTTAAATTTTTTTTAAATAAAAGTCGTTTTGTCTTTTGGCTGTGTATCAGTAAGCTATGCTCATGTCCCTTTAAGACGCTGCGCTACGTGCGGTCTGTAGTCATGTGACTCCACCCCGTCCAGTCTGTAGTCACGTGACTCCACCCCGTCC